TGACCTCAGGTGTCTTTCAGTTCCAAATTTATGACACTTTATCAGGTTTTCCTTTTTTCCGGGGGGTGAGGGCAGGTCCTATCAACACCATCCTGCAGGAATGTGTTGAACCCAGCTAGCCGATTGTTAAATGTTCAGTGTGAGCATTTACACATTGGAAAGAGGCAAACCAAAATAAAAAAAGATAAAATAAAAAAAGAGGCAAACACCACAAAACAAGGCTCCGTTTATTGTGCTGTTGATTGCCTAGGCTTAAGAAAGCAATGGGAAAATGTTAATAATGCAGATTCAACTTAAAAAGTTTGTCTAGCATATGTTTCCACACACTCATCCCATCCCCAGTTGTGAAACATGTAGCAGCACACCACTACCACCATGACTCTCCATCACCAAGTAACCTAGCAAATTCCCCAACCAACCTGGGTGTTCTTCCCTTGGGCCTGACTCCCTCTTTTGATGATTATTCACATTTCTGGGTCAATTTATAGTTTGTACAATGCTTTTCTCATAATAGACCTGTACACCCATTTTACAGATGAACAAACTAAGGCCCAACAAAGTGAAATGATTTGCCCGAGATTTGAACCCAGTGGGCAAAATCAGAGGACAAAGTGGGTCACTGCTCATCCCATTAGCCACCACGACAGAAGCTATTACTTTAGCACCTCCTATAACTAAAACAAAGCTCAAGGCCAACGCATTACCCGTGGGAAGAAAAGGGAATGTCAGGCTCAGAATTGGGCGAGGGCAGTGGGGAAGACCGGGCAGCCACCTCTCTTTCTCTGCTCGACGTAACCAGCCCATGGCCAGTCTACTCTCTGGTCAGGTAAAGAGGGGTAGCCTGAGAGAAGCCAAGCCTGGGGAAGGAGAAGGGAGGAGCACACAGATACCGCCTCCTTTTCCTCCATCGCCACCCCCCCCACCAGACCACAGCCCCCATGGCGGGCGAGGAGCAGGAGGAATCAATCAGGGTAATGAAGCCACAGCCTGCCACGCACTGCGGGGGCACCGAGGAGCCGGGGACGGTGCCAACTCTGCCAGACGGTTTGGAGGAGCTGGCCCAGGCTCGGGCGGCGGCGGCAGCGGCAGCGGAAGCAAAGCAGCCCCGCGCTGGTGGCGGCTATGCTGAATGTGAATACCTTGATGGGCCCCTTAGCAACTGCACCTTGACAACCCCAAGCCTCAAAAGGGGATGATCTTAAAGGTGCAGGACTCGCTTTCTTTGCTTTCACTACCCCCATCCCCACTCCGCCTCCTCTACCACAACCAATGGCGGAGGGAAATGGGTTGGGGGTCAGAGCACTGGTGCAGAGGCCAATGGGGTAGGGTCCTGCTGGGAAGTACAGACTTAGTGTTTGCTATCCTGGGAACAGAAGTGGCCCTAGATGTTCAATCCAGCAGCTAGGCATCAAGGGACGAGTCTGTCTACCATCCCCTCTTATTCCAGCTCACACTGGGGTGGGGAGTCAAGATTCTCAGCTGCTCCTAAATGTAGTGAGCTGGGCTCCATCTTAAAAGATGGCAGGAAATGCAACAAGAGGCTTGCAGGATTAGACCTAAGAAGGGACTCCTCACTTCAGCTGATTGTGATGGACAGGAAGAGGTAGCAGCAGCCTCTGTATCAAAGTGAAATCCCATCTCTCCATCCTTTACTCCTTGAATCATCTTTGGCAGGACTATGGTGTAAGAATAACAATTCTCATTGTTAAATGGATCTGCCACTGAACTAGCTGTGTGGCCTTGAACCACTTCACTTTGTTGGATCTTACTCATCTGTAAAATGGGCTCACATTTATATAGTTCTCTAAGGTTTACAAAGCATATAACAAAAACCATGTGAGGTAGGAAATGTAAGCCTCATCACACTGTTTGATAGATTAAGGAATCAAATCTTGGAGAGGTTAAGTCACTTGCCCAGAGTCAGAAAGCTCGTGTTAGAACGAGGATTTAAACCCATGCCTTCTAATTTTAAAATCTAGTCATTTTTCCTCTACACAGGAGGTGGGCAAACTATGTCTGTGGGCCAAATTCCCCCCCAAGGTCTTCAGTTAAGAATTGTTTTTTACATTTTAAAATACTTGGGCAAAAATAGTTGGCAGGCCAGATTAAGACCAGGGGCCATAGTTACTGGCCTCCTGCTCTATACTATGCAGTGGGATGGATAAGATGACTTTTATAGGTCCCTCGAAGCTTTGTGACTCAGTAGTCCTCCCCCCATGGTCCCAGCATGGCACCACACTTTCCAGGCTTCAATGGTTAACAGAGGATGTATTATTTAGGTGTCTTCCAGGCATTGGAACAGGAGAAGAGGGGAAGGTGGGAGTGGAAGGAGGTGGTGTCATGGGCATACTGATTTGGGGAAGGAGGAAGGGAGGGAAAGAAGCAGGCAAGGGGCTGCCCTGCTTTGTGGCTCCCACCTCCTATGACAGTTACCTTTGTGCCCTCCACTTTCTACCTTCCCTTCCACCAGGTTTCTCCTCAAACTAGCAGGTGAGTTCTAACTAGCTGGGGGCCCACTCTGGGAGATCCTGACCTCTCTGGCTCCTCCCCAGTATTATGTGTCCAGTATCTCAGAGAGCCTGGCTCACAGCCTTGTTCAAAAAAGTGCCAACACTACTGACTCCACCTAAAGAAAAACTGATTTGCATAATGTTTGTACATTGCTAATTAAATGTGAAAGACAGTTATTCCCCCAGATCGACTCCCTCCATCTCTCAGTGTTCCCTCAAGCCCATGCACCTCTCCCCCAAGTCCCCATCACACTCTCCCTGGGGTCTGTTTAGCCCCTGCTTCTCTTCTTTTGGTATTCCCTTTAGCTGTAGCTCCTTTCCCCTAAATAATCCCCCAACCTCTTTTCCCCTTCTCTCTAGTGCCCCCGGTCCCTACTGTACCAAATGAAGTCTTTTCCCAATGAGCTTTGTGACCATGCATGGCTTGCTCCCATGGCTGAGAATTAGAAGATACACATGCACACATGAGTTTGGGCACATGTGTTTACGTGAACGTGTACACATGGACAGAGTCAAGTATTACATGCACAAACATTCTCAAACCATTACACATACATGTAGTCAAAAAACGAAGAAATAGTCTTAGGTGTGTCCATGTCACACAGCGCTCAGGTCTGCAGTTGACACATCTGTGTGCCCAACTGAGTGGGGCCTCCAGTGATCCAGTGGGCCTCCATAGTGACCATGAATGGCTTGCTCCCTAGGGCCCATCAGCTGCCCCCGGGTTCCCTCTCTGGAAGAGGCAGGATACAGCTGGGATCAGTACCCTGGTTCCTGGTACCAGGGTGGAATGCTATCTAAGTTCCTAGCTGTATTATAAATAATAATAATAATAATAGCTAGCATTTATATTGTGTTTACTATGTACCGGGCACTAAGTGCCAAGTGCTTTACAATTAAAAGCATCAATCCTGAGACTATTATAATTCCCTGAACAAACTTCCAGCTAGTCTGTAACTCCTGGTGTTTGGCATAGATTGGCATTAAAGAATACTTATGTAGGCAGTTCTTGGTATAAGCTATATGTCTTGGGGAGGAGGGCAGAGATGGAAGGCAGTATTAGTGTGGGAAGGATGCAACTGTTTTGGACCTGACCAGCTCCAGGTTCTAGCTGAGCTCAGGGAGGGCCTATTCTTTCTGTTCTGTCCTCCCATAACCAGGAGTCATCTGAGTGAGGGCCCTCAGAAGGGGGAGGGGAATGGGGAACGTCTGGGGGATCTGGCCAGCAAGTGCCAGCTGCATGCCCCAGGCCTGCCCCGAGCCTCTTGGCTGGCAGCCACGACAACCCCCAGAGGAACTGGCTTGTTCTTTGAGGGAGGGGTATGGTGGGAGGGAGGTGGGGGGGCATTTCCTGGCATGGCAGCCCATAAGGTAAAGTAGAGGTCACCAAGTCAAAGGGTCTTAGATACCTCTGCCTCTAGGGGAGTAAGGGGTGGGACTCAGGATGCAAAGCACAAAGTCCCACACATGGTAGGTATTAAATACATGTTTCTAAGTGATGATAATGGATTTACTATGCTTCTCTTCCAGTTGGGAAAGAAGCAGGGGACTTCAGGAAAAGACCAGCCCAGACTCCCTATCCCTTGAACCGGAGGCCTATCCCCAGCCATAGTCTCCTCTTCCCTGAGATGTTAGCAGAGACAGGAAGATATCTGAGCCTACTGTTCTGGTAGTCACCAACTAGGGCATCACACTAGGCTCAGGACTGATGCCCAAGTCTGGATACATTTAGGAGCTCAGATCCCACCCTACCCTGGCAGGACCCAGGGTGCTGATCCTCATGTGTCCTGCCTTACCCAGAGAGGGGACAGAGACAGCTGATGAACCCTGGGGAGAAGACTGTGCACAGTCCTCACGGAGGTCCACTGGGAAAAGGCCTGGGTTGAGCACATAGATGTATCAGCTTGTCTAGATGCAAGCAGGGGTACTGTGCAACATGGACACACCCAGGCCTGGTTTTTTTTTGTCTTTCACTACAGGCATGTGTAATGGTTTGAGAATGTTCGTGCATGTATTTGTAACCACTTGTGCACAAATAACTGATTCTGCCCATGTGTGGGGGATTCATGTACTCATGCACACCTACATTTATGTACCTTAGATGCTTAACCATCTCTCTGCCTTTTTCTAAGGATTCTCTTCTTCCTCACAGGGAAGATGGAAAGCGTGTATGTAGGGAGAGCACGGGGGGGGGGGGGGGGTTGGAGGGGAAAGAGGGAAGGCCACTGGTGGGTTTGGCAGCAAAGACCTTTGGCAGCTGGACCACCAGCCTCCAATTTCCTCTTTAGGGCTGGATATTTGCCATGGCCATGGATCCCTCAAGCCCAGCAGATCCCTTCTCCCCCTTCACTGAGAGAAGGGGGTCCTAGATGTACTGGACGAGTAAATCATATCCCTGCCCAACCCCCCCCCCTTTTCCCCATAAAGGATTCCCCTTCCATGCGTCCCTCCCTCCCTCCCAGCTCTTCCAGAGCCTCATTCCTGCTAGGGTCCGCCCCGCCCATACAAGAACTGCAAGGAAGGAGCTGGGGAGGAAAAGAGGCTTGAGGGGTATGGGGTTGTTGGGGGGTGGGAAGGGCAGGGTCAGATATTGTTCAGCTTTTGCCTGAGTCCCCCTGGAGCATGGCTGCTCATTTGAAATTCCGATTTAAAGCCGAGCAAGCAAGCAGCTCTTTAAATTTCTGCATTAGCATGCCGCCCGGATGCCAGGCCAAGATGTTGGGATGGATTTGGCAGGAACGCCTCCAACAGTGGCAGGCGGTGGTGTTTGCCAGCAATAAAACAACGAATGAATAAAAGAAGGCTCGATTGGCAGTGACTGAGGCCCAGGTAGCTTGGTGAGCTGGGGGGGGGGGAGGCAGCACTAGTATGTGCTAACACATGTATGTATTTATGTATGTGCAGTGAGGGCTTCCGTCTCTGCCTCTGGTTGACTCCTGTTTGCTCACTATCTAATCTAGGCCTGCAGTGGAATGTGGGGTGAAGGCACGGGTTGGCTTGGGGCCCCTTCCCCTCGGTTTCTCCTCTCCCCCCTCGGGGGGGGGCGATATTTCTTCTTGGAAGGGACAGATGCTGCTTTTGATGAGGACATGGAGACTTGGCTAATGGCCTAGGCTGCCCGACTTCATTAGGGACCTGAAAACAGGTGGGGTCAGAGGAGAGCAATATTCTGCCCAGCCCCCCCCACCCTCTCCACCCCAGTGGCTTCCAAAGGCATAGCTCCAGAGATTTGCAGAGGAAGGCAGGGCAGTGTGGAGGGGACATGGGGAGGAGGGGGACAGGTGGTGATTGGAGGGGAGTGGCAACACCTTCACCAACCAGCCTCCTTACCCTATAGAATTGATCCTTCCCTCACCTTCTGAGCCTTGGGGGGCCAGAGCAGATTTTGTGCACCAAAGCTAGGGTTCAGAAGGATGAGAGGCAAAGAACAAGAAGAGGTGGTAAGGTTGGTTGGGGGGAAGGATATCTGAGAGAAGGGGAAGAGGAAAAGGGATCATTGAGAAGCCTAATATGTCCCAGCCCGATCCACCTAACTGCACTCACCCCGCCCCCAACTGCTTTTCCTATCTCCTCTTCCTCCTCCTCTCCCCTACCCAGACAGCCCAATCTTAATTAAAGGGTGTATGGGTGGGCGGGGGAGGCAGTTTGGGTTGACAGAGCTCAGACTATAGGAGCAGCAAAGGCCTTGACAGAAGACTGGATACTTTCCAGAGGTCATCTGATCTGTCACAATGAAGGCAGCCCAGACTTCTTTTACTTACCTCCTTACTGGTTCTTCATATTCCCTTGGCCTTCCTCCTGCCATGCCTGCCACCCAGCTTGGGACTCAGTTCTCATCTCCCCAGACATCTCCGAGGCAACAGAGACAACTTGGAATAGGGGTGAGGTGAGGATGAGGGAGGGAGTTAAGTCTATTAGGCTCTGGCTTCTGCATGCTTCTCTCACAGTCCTCGGTAGCATAAAGAGCCCTCACCCCATACATAAGAAATCAAATTTATGGGGGCTGAGGTAGGATTGATTAGTTAACCTCAAAGACTGTATTCCAGCTGAGGCTGCTGAGATCTCAGATTGTACTTTCAGGGGGGTAAGGAGCAGACAGAGAGAGCTAGATTACTCCCAATGGGAAGTGGAACCTCTCCTGGGGGGGGCGCTTTGGAAGGACTCTATCTTGTCTTTTCCTGGGAAAATGACAGACTCTCAGTATCCTGCCCAATGGCTTAGCATCAAAGGTCCATGTGTGGCCTGTTCTAGGTCAGACATGCCCTGAGGGGTAGGAGAGTGGGGGTGGGGGGTGGAATAAGGGTGTAGGTTTAGGCCAGAGAGACATAGCTCTTCTCCACGTTGCCTGACTGCTCCTGAGATCTACTACCCTCCAAAATCTGAGAAAGCTAGGACAAAAAAGGTACAGTCACTGCTCTGAACTCCTCTCCACCCCAGACCCCAGGCTTAGGTCCCCAAGCGTGGTGGCCCTGCAGGAGGTGAGGTGAAGCTCCTGTCTCTTGCTGCCTCCCTGCATTAGTCACGAGGCATTGGGCACCACCGTCTCCTAACCTAGTTCCTGGCCCTGCAGGAGCCCCCATCCCTGCCTGAGTGTGGCACTGTCTCCAACTGGGGCCTAGGCCAGCCCTGGCCCTCACCAGCAGAGGGCTGGTTCTCCCCTTCTCTGGGTGCTGGCTGGGGTGGAGAGCTGGATTTGAAAGCTGCTTCTAGTATGACTAGTAGGTTCCATGTGGATTTCAGTGCTTTGGGTGGGGAGAGGGAGAAGCAGGAAGATGGAGGGGAGCCCTCCCCGCCCCAGGCGGCAAGGAGCCCAGAGCTTGTTCCATCACAGACACCCCATCTGTCTCCCACAGAAGGCTCAGATTGGGGGAGGGGGTCAGACAGAGGAGGGGCATGGGGGGTATATACAGCTCTATAGACTGAGTGAACATGAAAGTCATGTTGCTGGCAAGGGAGAAGAACTTGATGGGGACGGGGGTGTCCACCTCTTGTCCCAGGTAAGGGTAAAGGGACATATACCTTAGCCAGAGTTAGAAATCAAAGGCCAACAACAAGGATTCCAGAGGGCCAATGATGAAGCATGCTCTCTCACAGAGAGGCAATGCACTTAGGGTATGGAATGAGACATATTTTGAGGCTATGGCCAGTGAGGGAATTTATTTGGCTTGATTATTCATGCTTGTTACAAGGGTTTTGTTTTTCTTCTCTCTTTTTCTTCTACTGGGGGGAGAGAAGTGGGAGGAAGATAAAATAGATTTTTGTTCATTGAAAAAATAAATTGGGGGCAGCTAGGTGATTCAGTGGAGAGCACTGGTCCTGGATTCAGGAGGACCCGAGTCCAGATCCAGCCTCAGACACATGACACTTACTAGCTGTGTGACCCTGGGCAAGTCACTTAACCCCCTTGCCTAGAAAAAAAAATTTAAAAAAATCAAAAGTCAAAAGCTGAGGAAGGAGCAATAGAAGGCATTACTGGGACCCTACTCTTACCAGGCAATAGTATGTTTGATTTTTGTTTCTATCTGTACTCCTCAACCCCCATACACCCTTATTTTTTTTCCCATTGGGCAATGGGGGTTAAGTGACTTGCCCAGGGTCACACAGCTAATAAGTGTTACATGTCTGAGGCTGGTTTTGAGCTCGGGTCCTCCTGAATCCAGGGCTGGTGCTCTTATCTACTGCACCACCTACCTGCCCCATCAACCCCATAGATCCCCTCCACATAGAAGGAAGGAAAGTCCCCCCTCCCCATTTGCCAACAATTCTGATATACATTTGGCTGGTAGGGAACTAGGGTTGAGCTTAAGAATGCCGGAGTTCAGGTCAGTGCTAGATGGATGTGACACTGTCACCCCTAGGATTCTGTACTCATCATTTTTAGCCACCTCCTCCAGGGGTTCTTAACCTAGCTCTAGGTTGAGAGCCCTAAGGGGTCCAAGAATAGATTTCAAGAGGTGTGAACTTGGAGGGAAAAAATTATACCTTCATTTCAATATAATTGGTTTCCTTTATAATCCTATATATTTTATTTGATGCAGTTAAAAATATTATCAAGAGAAGGGGTCCATGGGCTTCACCAGACTGATAAAGGGGTCTGTGATATAGAAAAAGTTCAGATACTCTGCTCTAGGAGCTTTCTGTGGAGGGCTCAGAAGAAATCTTAGCCTGGATTAGAAATATATGCTAGAGAAAGACCGCTGGAAGTGTCAGAGGAGTTGTAGAAAGACAGAGACACTAATGTACCGTTTGGTGGAACTAGCAACGATTTCCGACTTCTCTGGAAAACAATTTTCAACTGTAATAGAAAAGTCACTAAAGTCACTTAACCCCAACTGCCTGAAGAGAAAAAAAGTCACTGAACTGTACATAGCCTTTGACACATTGTGTCACTACCAGACATATCCCAAGGAGGTCAAGCAGAGAGGGAAAGGTGCCATATATACAAAAATATTTATACTGGTACCTTTTATGATAGCACAGAACTGGAAATAAAGTGAGTGCCAACTAGGGAATTGCCAAACAAATTGTGGCATATAAATGTAATATAATATTATTGTGCCTTAAGAAACAAACAGTGTGGAGTGGCAGCAGTATGGTGTAGTGGTTAGAGGACAACCTCGTTATTTTTAAGGCACTCGGGGTTGTTTGATCCTGGTTAAGCCATATAAGTTCTCAGTGCCCTAGGCAGATCTCTAGGACGAGAAACTGCAGAAGAATTGCTCACCCTTAGTGGTACAGGGAGTTTCCTCCCTGGGAATTCCTTTTACCAATGAAAATCATGGGTTCAGACAAAAATAAAAAAAGACAATTACAAAAATGAAGAATTCAGAAAAATTTGTGAAGGCTTGTAGGAACTGATGAACCGGGAGCAGCAATCTACCCCGAGACCACAATGAAGTCAAGGAAAACAATGGTGAAAGATATCCAGACTCTGATGACTGCAATGACCCAACTGTGACTTCAGAGGACTGAAAAATGGAGCATTCTTTTATCTTCTCTGCAGAAAGATGGTGGCCTATAAGTACAGAATGAGGCACACATTGTTAAGCAAAGACAATGTCTTGATTTGTTTTGTTTAATTATATGTCTTTGTTACCATGGAAGATTCTCTTTGGTGGTAGAGGAGCGGCAGTCATTGGGAAGTAACATGGATAAAAAAAAAATTATGACATCCATCAATTTAAAAAAATGGACATGATTCAGAGTCAGAAAACTTGGGTTTTAGTCCCAGATTTGCCATTAACTGTGTGATCTCCATGTGTGATTTTAGGCAAATCAATCCCTCTTTCCGGGCATTAATTTCTTCATTTTTAAAATAAGGTGATTGAACTGAATGACCTCTAAGGCACTTTCTGGATTTAAGAATCTAGATTTAATCATCTTATCTTTCCACTGTAGGTACTTACCCAATGACCATTTGATTCTTCAAGCATAGCTTTGCTCCCTCATTTCCAACATCTTGACTTCTCTTAGGATTCCTGGGGGCAGCGGGGAAGAGGTGGTCTCTATAGCAACAGATCAAAGACCAGGTGGTAGATTAGATGGAGACAGAGTAGAAGGGGAGAAGTGAAGAAAAAGAAATAGGAAGGAACATCCCTGATGCCTAGAACTGGTCTCCCTGCTGTGAGCTTTTCAAGTCATCCTCATGTGAACCCTGAGGTCAGATATTCCTCTACCACCTTGACTGAGGAATTCTCCATTTCTGTGTGTACCCCAGATACCAGAGAAAGAATCAGCTTTTCTGTACCATGAAGTACCAGAAGGAATTGCTTCAGGCATTTGAGAGCAACCCCAGGAGTACCTGAGCTTACTCACTGTAGCCAAGTTAAAGCCCTCACCACTTCTATTGGTAGAAGTAGCTTCCTCCTTAGGAATTCCCTTTACCAATGAAAATCATAGGTTCAGACAAAAAGAGACTACAAATACGACAGACACAACACACAAGTTATGAAGACTTGTATGAATTACAGTCCATTTGAAGACTACACTAAGAAGAAGACTCTAGATCTTCCTATTATCTCTTTCTTCAGTGTTTCCCACCCTACCCTTTCGGAAAGTTCTTTCTTAGTTTTAAACTCATTCCTTCATGCTACAGCTTACACTCACTTTTCCCCCTTTTGGGGCACACAAGCTCATGCTTGTCAATACCTTCTGGGAAAACATGTGAACCTGAAGCAAGGGCTTTGATTATTAAAAATAAATGGGGGGGAGAAGTGAGAATAAAGAGATAGATACATCTCACGGTCCCTGTGAGTTATTAGAAAGAAGGCACTGGTGGTTGCTAAGCAACAGGTCTCCAAAGAGGACAAGGCACACTGTAGAACAAGGCACCATCAAATGAACATTAGAAAAACAGGGAAGGGGCTGGGGCACCCACTGGGGCCAGATACAAGTTCAGAACTAGCCGGTTCACTCCCAAGTCTAGTCCTCTTCCCACATTGGGGCTAGGGAGAAAAGACCTAATAGACTTCACCCCTACTGTCCTTCAAGATCGATGGTGGTGGGGTAACCTAGTTTCCATAGCTACTCAGATACACTCCTGGATTGGCCCATGGGGTCCTTAGGTGTCTTTCGTACCCAACTCTGGGGTGTGCATTCTTAGATTACCCTTCCCTCCTAGCCCTACTCCTCTTAAATAGGAAAGGGAGGAGCCAAGGTAAAAGGGGGTACCCCAGAATTCAGTTGGCCTTGACTGGCCCTGAGGGGACCTATCCTTTAGGGAGGAGGGAAGATGCTTTGCTGGAGGGGATATGAAGAGTTCCTTACAGAGACACCACTGTAGAAGTGGGGTGGGGAGGAAAGGGAGAGCAGAACCAAATGGCAGTATCAGATATAAAGACAGAGCTGGTGCTTTTTCTTTCTAGGGTGGTGTTTTAGGAGGCAGAGAGGAAGAGAGGGCATTGGGCAGCTTCTTCTGCGTCCCTCTGGCCCCAGTTCCCTGAACCCAAAGTCCAGCGTTGTGGAGACCAGAGAATGAAGATATAGAACATTAACGTATGTCAAATATAAGTGAGTGGCACTGAGGGGCATAATCTGTTTTTCTAATATGACCACAAGCAGAGTGTTAGAAGAATTAGGCCGACAGCTGCTGTGTTTTTTTTTCCCTTTCTCTCTCTCGCTCTCTCACTCTCCCTTCCTCCTCGGCGTTTGCACACACCAATGGCAGCAGAGCCCTGCTCGCGATTTCTCTTAATCTTCCTCCTCCATCCTGCGCTCTTTCCGCAGGCGGTGCTGCGAAGCCGGCAGAGCCCAGCGTCACACCTTACTGCTCCTCAAGATTGCTCCACAGAGAGCTGAGGGAGATGGCAATTCGGCGCTGACGCCGGCTGGCAGCAGTTGGGAGGGGGGAAAGAGTAGGAGAGAAGGAGGGAGGGAAGGGGGAAGAAAGTTGGCACAGATACCAAGTTTTTCCCTAGAGAGAGATGGGGGGGTGGAAGAGAGAGAAAAAGGGAGGGAGAAAAGGAATGAAGAAAGAGAGAGGGAGGGAGGGGGAGAGAGAGAGAGATGATGATGAAAGTTCTTTCTTGATCTCTTACACACAAATGCATGCAATCACCCCCCCTCCCCCCTCCGACCCCAGGCTCCCTCAACAATGACTCTCCATAGACCAAACTCTCTCAGGGTTCCACCCAATCCCCTGCCAGGTGCCTGTACACCCTCCCACATTCCCAATCACCCTGGAGTCTAGACTGACTCACACATGTGTGTGCCTGTACGTGTGTGTGTGCATGCTCGTGTGTGTGTGCATGCTCGTGTGTGCATGAGCGTGTGTGTACGCCTGTATGTTGTCTGTTTTGGATCGCAGTAGAATGCAGTATGTAAATGAGATGGTTATTACCGCAATGTTCATCAAGCTGAGCCGAGAAGACATTAATAGCCTGATGAATATGCATGTGAATTTGTTAATTAAGTTAATTATTCTGCTGAAAATGCATTCGTCTTCCAAGGACATTTTCCCAATGATTTTTACATGCTCTAGCCATTAGTCATGCTATATTTTATCAGGGAAATGAGTTTGCTTAAGTTGTTAAAAAAAAAAAGGGAGAAAGAGAAAGAAAGGAGGAAAAAATGGGAAAGGCCGAGTGCTATTGGAGTTGAGCGTGGGAAGGTGGCAAAGAAGGCCAGCCCCAAGTCTGAGGCCCAGCTGGGCCTTTGAAGCCTGCCCTAGATTTTTATGGGCATTTCATTCTACATTTTTTTTTTTGCTTTTCTTTATGACAAACTTTTTTCTTTCCAGTGCCAAATTTCCAACACATTAATTAATTGTTGTAGCCAATTAACTGTAGTTGTGCAAATGAGTTTAGCACTAATTACCATGCAGTGCCTGTAATCACATAAAAAACTTGCTGAGAGAGAGGGAGAAAGGGAGGAGAAGATAAAGGGGGAATAAAAAAGGGGGGGTAGCGACATGAAAGGAGGGAAACAGAAAGATGAGATGTCAAGGAATGGGGTGAAAGTGGAGAGGGGAGAGAGGCCTGTCCTAAGGAGACCTTGCCACTACTACTGAGTCTTTGAAGTCTTTTCCAAGGGAATGGCATAGTTATTCTTGCCTTCTTCAAGATCAAGATTGCCTCTTTTGGGGGAGGGAGTTGTTGGAAAAACTCAAGGTGCCCTGAGAAGTGGGTCTTTTCCTTATGGATGAATGTCTCTTCAAAGAAGTTCAGACTGGAAATAGCTGGTTATGAAAATAAAAGTGTCCTCTCCAAGGCCTCCAAGATCTCAGCCCCTAATTCCCCCACTTTCTAGGGCAGGAATTAGGAAGTATCAGGTTAAAGAAGAATCATATTTGTACTAATCATTCCCTCTGCAACACTGAATGATGACTGTATCATCTACGTTGTCCCAATATTATATCACCAAGATAACGCCAAGGGCTGGTAGAAAAATTAGTAATGACCCTTAAGGCCTGGCTTCTGAGGCTGCAAGTAATTTGGCAAGACTGGATTATCTTGCCTCCTTTGAGATTAAAGTGGTGGTCCTCTTTTAGGAAAGGGGCAGATAGGTGGCCCAGCGGATAGAGCACTAGGCCTGGAGTCAACCTCAGACACTAGCTGTGTGACCCTGAGCAAGTCACTTAACCCTGTTTGCTTGTTTCCTCTTCTGTAAAATGGAGTAGGAAATGGCAAACCACTCCAGTATCTTTCCCGAGAAAACCCCAAATGTGGTCACAAAGAGAATGGAGGCAAGAAGAGGTATCTTTACTGATGAAACACCAGCCGACCCAGGAATGCTCAAAAGGAAGAGTGAAGCTATCCTACTCAGGATATTGGGAACTGATGACATCTGGCCAGCTAGAGATCAGGCGGTAACTAGAATATGGCATCTCAATTCCCTAGCATGCCAGTGCCAATTTTAGGTTTTCTACCTGTCAGCCTCCAGCTATGCTCAGAGGCATGGGGACGGACATGGTGGTTTTGCTAGTCTCTTGTACCTCGTCTCTAGCTTGCCATGGCCCCATTTATCACGGAAATTGGGGGGAGGTCATAAGAGTTAATGGTAGAGTGTGATATTGTGTTAGATGGTACCCCACTGATCATATTCTGGAATGGGAGCTACTTCACTTGTCATGTAGAAATGAAGAAGAATCCTCAACCTTAGGCAACAGCTCCTTCCTTTCTCCTTAGCAAAGAGCTCCTCTTATCTTAGACCCGCTTCTGGATCACAGTAGAGTTGAATACCCAAGGACGACTTCCTATTTTCTTCCCTAGAAAAGAGCAAAAAGGCTTTCCTCCACATTTCTAGTTGTTTCCAATTATCTTTTGCCCCTACTCCAAGCCTACCTTTGCATGGAGGGCCCAAAGGGATTCTATCTTGACCTATGCTACTCTCTTATTTCACTTGTGCTTACAAATTCATCTCCCTTTCACCCTAATCATATGGGGAAATTTGTGTCTTCTATCTTGTCTTACATCCTTTATAGGACAGATTTGTCTGGAGGTATGGGAAAGGATAAGATTCTTTTGGGTGTGTGTGAATAGGGTGCCCAAGACACCGCCCTTAGTAGGGAGAATGTAGCCTGGGGTAGGTGGTGAGATTCTAAGCTACTAAAATCACAGACCCACTGGGCTGCTCCACCTTCTAGGCAGCTCTGAAAGTGACCAAAGGAAACCACACTATTGTATGGGAGCTGTGTGGGTTTGGGCAGGCTCTGGAAAGCTCATCTCTATCCAGGTACTTCTATACCTAGCCTATCCCAGATAGAGAAGAATCTAGAGAAGGGAAGTCATAGAATTCCATCAGTCTCCCATTCCTACATCTCATAACTGCTTGAGGGAATCAGAGGCAGCTAGGTGGCACAGCAGATAAAACAATGGACTTGGAGCCAGGAAGACCTGAGTTCAAATCCAGCCTCAGATACTGGTTAGTTGTGTAACCCCGGACAAGTCACTTATCCTCTGTTCACCTTAGTTTCTTGGCCTTTAAAATAGGGAAAACAATGGCACTTACCTCCCAAGTTTGTTGTGATGATAAAATGAGATAATATTTATAAGTGTTTTGCAAACTTTAAAGTACTATATAAATAATTTGCTAGCTAGCTAGCCACACAACATCTACCTATCTTGCTGCAATCTTACAGTATTTCCTGTTCTTAGAGGAGGTAGGGGATAGAAGGCAGGTCATGACCTCTATCAAGATACCAGAACTCAGTATTAAGAGGAATGGCTTCTCCTTCCTTCTTTCTGGGGAGGCCACCTCCAAGGCTTACTGGGCCCCTGTGCTTGCAAAGAGAATAAGAAACCACCACAAAATCTGTTAGAAATAGATCAGAGATGACGGGCCCCCAGGAGATGATGGACCGAGAGGGATATGCAGGAGGGAACACACCCTTTCCCCTGACCTAAAAGACATAGTTGATGATGAACTCTCTCTTCACTGTTTCTATTTGGTCATCCCCAGGCCTGACATTGGACTTGGAAGGAGTATGAGAACAGAAAGGATCAGTCTTATCTGCCATGCTTGGCAGAAGGCATTACCCATTCAGCTCTGCATGTCTAGTTGGCACTCCATGAGCCTACCCCCTCCCTTTGGCCACGGGACCTTCGGGTTTGGGTTAAAATGATGTCTCTGTAATCATTTTAGTGTGAAGTTTAACCAAATTTAACTCATAGCCTTTTCTATTCTTTAGATGTGTCTGGCTGGGCATACCAGTCTCTGTTCATCCCTCCAGTTCTAACTGCACCCTTTCCAGGCTCCCCTCTTGGGCCCAATGTTAAACCCAGTCAGCCAAATTCAGGTTGTTAGATATTTCCCAGGGAGGTGAATAACCTTGTGGGGAGGACACCCAGGTCCTTTGGCCATCTAGCTTCCAAAGGAGCTAAGGAAGTTACTGAAAAAACTCCTGATTGACCACTGTGAAAGCCTATGAGAATGGAAAGCACTTGGGCTTTCCAAAGGCTGGAAACAGCATGAAGAAGGGAGAATTAAGAGGGTGTCCTTACTGCATCCTATCTCATTCCACTCAAGTGTTCCTACTGCTCACCTTAGCCATCCTCTACAGGCAAGAGAGGGTTAAAGGTATGGTATGGGCAAGCTATAAATTTCCCATCAGAGTGTGGGGAGAGCAGGACTTGGGGGGGGTGTTTGGGGTGGTGGTGGGGAACTGGGAAAAAGCCAGGAGGTTGTCTCTAGGTAACAATAAACACTGCGAGCTAGGAGCAGCTGTTACACTTACTCTCTCTGCATCACAATGCTGAAATAACACTAATAAACCAGTGCGCCCCAACGCATGGGCATACACTCAGACACTCGGTACTCAACCCAGCAGTGACACTAGCCCTCCCACCTCCATCCTAGGGGCTTGCCCTCTGCCCCAGTTCTCTCTTTGGAGTCCCAGTTCAAGGCATGCCAGCAGCCAGACCACTCATTGTCCTAGGCATCTTTCTGAGAACGAGAACAGACAGACCCCTTTAGGCTGGAGTTCCCTTAGATAAGGGGAGGGAGAAGCTGGGAGTTCTGTGTAGAGATCTTAGGGGCATGTGTTTGAGGGGAAAAGAAATAGAAAAGATGAGGGACAGATGACAACTTGTCTGTGTCCCGGGTTGGGTGTGTGTGTGTGGTGTGTGTGTGTGTGTGTGTGTGTGTGAAGTAGCCAGGATAGGATGGGTCAAAGAGAATTTGGTCACTGGGTAGGAGTGGGGGTGGAAGAATCAAGAGAATTGGAGGGGGGGGAAGAGAGCACTGAATGGGGCACTCAGGAGTGTGGCTTCAATGCTTTCCTGAAGCTAAGCCTCTTTATTCCTTCCCTGATCCCACCTTGTTTCTCAGCAGCACTATCTTGATATCTAACATCAAGTCTGGTGTTGGTTTGGGGCTGAACTTTATTCTGGAACCTCCCAACAGGCCCACCCGAGGTTTGTGATCCTGCCAAGCCAAGCCTGTCTGCTGCCAGGAAGAGATGAGATGGTAAGGAGATGGGTGAGGATCAGCCCTGTTTTTGTGCACAGATACGAAGTGGCTGGTCTGTTCTTCTCTCCACCCTGAAGCTACTCTGGATTTCTAGGAATGGCCACAGGCAGAAGTGCCCCATTCCTCAGCTGGAGAACAGAGCTGCTGACACAGAAAGGAACAGGAAGAGACAAATGAAGAAGTAGGGTCATCAACTGATGTAGAACCTCAGCCATACACTCCTCCCTTCCCATAGCCCTCCCCTCTTCCCAATTCACACGGAGCAGAGATTCTCATGGAACAAGATAGATTCCTGACTATTGCAATTCTTTAGGGGAAAGAATCATTGGGCAGTTATTTCCCTATATTAACTCTCCGGCAAAGAAAGCCAGTAACACAGAGGGGCAAATAGGGGAACTAGGCTTCACCGTGGAGGGTGCCCTCTAGATGGACACTCAATCTGTCTTTTCTCTGGTTAGGCAAGTGGTCAAGGCCCTATGGTGATGCAGTGGATAGAACTGGGACTGGCATCAGGAAGACCTGGGTTCAAATATGGCCTCAGACACTTACTATGTGACTCTAGGCAATCATTTAACTCTGTTTGACTCAGTTTCTTCACCTGTAAAATGACCTGGAGAAGGAAAGGGCAAACCACTCCAGTATCTTTGCCAAGAAAAACCCCAAATGGGGTCACACAGAATCAGACATGACTGAAATGAATGAACCTTCTTAGCTACTTTTTGTACCCTCAGTATCAGTGCCCCTTCATCTAGTAATAAAGAAGCTAAGTGGCACAGATAAGAACATTAAACCTGAGGTCATGAAGACCTGAGTTCCAATTCTGCTTTACATATTTACTAGCTGTGTGGCCCTGGGTAAATCATTTAACCTGTCTCATTTGTAAAATGAGGATAATAACAGAAACTACCTCACAGTGTTGTTGTGAGGATCAAATAAGACAACGTGTAAAGGGCTTTGCAAACCTTAAACGGCTATATAAATGCTAGCTAGCTATCATCATCATCATCATTAATGGGTGTTGTGTTTCTGAAAAGGGAAAACATCTCAGTACCTGGCATAGTGCCTAGCACACAGTAGGCACTTAAATGACAGCTGACTGGCTGACATTTGCAGGCTATACCACAAGGAGTCAGGTAGGAAGTGGACAGGTATAGGAAGAGGCTGTGTCAACTTCTTGAGAACACACTCTCACTCATTTCTTCCTATTCCTCCAACTCTGGTGACTCTTACAACCTCTTTTTCTTCTGTCTTTACTCTGGAAATTTCAACCCCTCCAATTTGGGCATAAATAGCCACCCACCCTTCACTGTCTTTTCTCACCCCTTTACCTCTTCCCCTTGCTTTGGAGGGCCATTTATGCCTCTGTGACAATCCTCCTTGTCATATATATTCTCAACCACCTGTGTACATATCAAAATAAGAGCTACCTTTTCAGTCCCAATTCTGCCTCTCCTGGTGTTTATTTCCAGGGAATAGACTGGCAAACCCTGCTGGTAAACCCTTCAGGTGCTGTCTTCTCTTCAGGAAGCTACCTTACCCTTCCACCCAGTAGCCACAGTTCAGAATGTGTGCACAGAGGGGAGCAACTGAGACTGTCACGGTAACCTCTCTTTTGGAAGGCACACTGGGGCCATGAGAGCATAGGGGTTGGGGGATACCTGGAGACCTCTACTATGAGAATAAAAATAGAAGGGCAGGGCAGGTTCAGTCTTCCTCCAGTATATTGTACTCTTACTTCATGCAGGGATTTTCCTTTATGACATATCATCCCATTTCACATCCACCTTCCCCAACAAGAAGCTAGGGTGCTGGAACAGGTCTCATCTTTTGGTTGGTTGTTCATATACCGCTTCTTCCCCTCTGAATCACCAGAACCTTAAATTCCATGGAACTGCTGGCACCCTCATCTTACCCCAGTGGACAGGCAGGTGCATAAACAGAGAATCCCAGCCCCCGAAAAGTCTGACCCCGGTCCAATCCTCCATGCCCAGGAATCTGTCATGCAGAACCACCAAAGGAGAATGAATAAGCAAGAGATTGTGAGAATGAGAGAGACACCCCAGCACGTGCTCTGTGTTGGAGCAAATCAAAGCCCGGCTTGCTTGTGCTGTTGAGAGGGATAGCCAGAAAAGCTGGCACGGGAGGGCACACAGCTTTGTTGGCACAAGAGAAGAACAGGGATGAGAGGGTGGAGACTGCTCCAGGAGCAGGCATCTCCGCCTGGCTCTTTCTGGTGGCTGTTTCTCCCTCTGCCTTGGTCTTTCTCTTTGGGTGCTGGTGAGCAGTGTGGCTTTGTCATCACTACTCTTCTTTTCGCAGGCCTCACTACCACCTGCCTTCCTTCCCTTCCCTTCACTCTAGGAGTCAATAGGATGGGGAGCTGGAGAAAGGGAAATGTTTAACATTAGGAACCCTCAAATAAACTGAGGTAATAGTAGGGCTCATCATAATCAATAAGACAGTACTTTCTTTAGCTAATTCTACACCAACCAGTTGTCATCCAGTCTGGCCCCATCCAGTTGCTGTCTTCTCTCTTCTGCCCTCAGGTTCCCTATTTGTAAAATAAGGGCCTTGGACTTAATATGAATGATATTTAAAATCCTTTCTATCTTAGTATAAGATGGAGGAGGAATGGTTAGACAACAATTGTTTGGGGGGAGCAGGGAAGGTCTGGGTAGTCCAAACATTCTGGAAAGCAATCTGAAACTATGCCCAAGAGGCTATTAAACTGTGCATATTTGACCCAGCAATACTGCTACTAAGGCTATACCCCAAGGAGATTAAAAAAAAAAGGACCCACATGTACAAAAATATTTATGGCAACTCTTTTCGTAGTGGCAAAGAATTGGAAACTGAGAGGATGCCCATCAATTGGGAAATGGTTGAACAAGCTGTGGCATATGAATGTGACAGAATACTATTGTAGTATAAGAAATGATGAAGGGAATGGTTTCAGAAAAACCTGGAAAGACTTGTATAAACTGATACAAAGTGAAGTAAGCAGAATCAGGAGAATATCATACACAGTAACAGCAATATTGTAAAGATAATCAGCTCTGAAACTTAGTAACTCTGATGATCACAATGAACCCCAATTCCAAAGGACTTGTGAAGAAACATTCTATCCACCTCCAGAAAGACAACTGATGGACTCAGAGTACAGATGGAACCATCTTTTTTTCTTTTCCTTAATTTTTCTTCTTTTCTTTTCTTTTTTTTTTTTTTTGGTGGGGGAGAGAGAGGGAACAGGCTAGTGTAGAAATTTGCTTTGCATGTCTATACATATTTGCAATAGGTTTTGTTTTTCTTGTCTTCTCATGGGGTGGGTATGGAGAGAATTTGGAACTAAAATAAAACAAAACAATAGTCTCTGCTTAAAAAATAAGAAAAAAAGATCTGGGATTTTTGGTGGGACTGTAAGCTCAATATGAGTTGACAAGCAATATGGGGGGCAAAAATTAGCTCTCTTGACTCTGGGCTTAATTAAGAGAGATACAGCTTCCAGGAATAAAGAGATTGTACCATTCATCCACAGCACTCTGCTTTGGTCAGACCACATATCAAGGGTATTGTGTCTAGTTCTGGACACCACAATTCAGGAAGCACTTTGATAAGCTAGAGAATAACCAAAGGAGAACTCCAGGATGGTGACAGGCCTCAAGTTCATATACGTCTTATAAAGACAGAAGAAACTGGGCAATGTTTAGGTTGCAGAAAAGAAGACGTGGAATAAGATAGCCGCCTCCTAGTATTTGCAGGGCTGTCACATGAAAAAGAGATTAAAATTTGTTGTGTTTGGGCTCAGAATTAAGAAGCAGGCACAATTCATGGAAGTGATAAAGAGGTAGTTTCAAACTTAATGTTAGGAAATAATTTCCTGACAATTACAGTTTTAAAAAAAAGAGAACTGGCTGCATCAGGATATAGAGGGTCTCACTTATTAGAGGTCTTCAAATAAAGGCTGGGTCAATACTTTTGTACACTGTAGTGAGAAATTTTTAGGCATGGGTTGGACTATTCTGTCAATGAGGTTCCCTGAGAATTCTGAAATTTTGTGATTCTCTTCTCTTTTCTAAGAGAGAAAGCATTCTGGCAGAATGCTTAGACCTCTGAGTTTCAATCTGTACCTTGGTCTCTTGCTTACCCCCAAGGCTAGGCCCCATGCTGCAGACACCAGTCTCTCTCTGCCCCAGATGGTGACAACCCCCATATGTGAGTGGCAACCTCTGCCTACACATTCTTTGTCCAAACCAGGGAACCTAGTCAGAGTTGGGAAAGGACCAGGTTTGATACTTCTTAGAGGAATGTGGTGAATTCAAATGGAAGTGATTTGGGGGCTTAGAGAATCTTTTTGATAATTTCAAATGTCTATGTGAGGGGACTAGGTATGAAAAGAAGATGGCAGAGTGAAGGGAAGGGAGTAGGCTTGTGAAAAATCTACCCTTTCTCCCAGTCCTAACATGTCCCTCCCACTAAGTGCTCTCCCCCTTCATTCCAGAGCAGGAATCAGCTCTGTAAACAACCACCACAAAATAAATTCCCCAACCAACACTAAATATTAATGCTTTGCCCTACATTGAATGGCCAGCCCCTGATGGGGGCCTCAGGCTACACAGCTCTCTCAGTCATACTGGAGGGAGTAGCTTTCATTCCTCCAGTGCCATCTTAGTTTACCCAGATGACAGCATTCCCCCTACCCACAACTTCTGGCAAGATTTTTCCCTGCTGGCCACTGTCAACAGGCTGGAAGTAGGTGAGAGGGCACTTTCCCTCCTTAGTGGGTAGAGGTAGAGGGAAGGATGGGGCTTGTCAGTCTTGGTCTCTGATGGGCATTCCTGAAAGGCAGATTCTAGATAATCAAGGGTAAGAAGGATTTAGCAGGCAGAGTTCTGCTGCCAGGCACTAGTATGGATGCTCCAGGGGCCTGGAGCAGAAAGGGCACTTGGGAGACAAAACAGGATGATGGGCCAGGAGACAAGGCTAGATTGGGGGGAGGAGAGGGTTTTGGGGGATAGGTCAGAAGCACATGGATAGAATTTCCGTCCAAGTAACCCTTGCCTCACCACCCTCCTACCTGCCTACCCTATTACTTTGGCATCACCATGGCCTAATGAATCAAAGAATGGAGAATGCTTATCACA